CCAGCTAATTTTTTGTATTTTTAGTAGAGACGGGGTTTCACCGTGTTAGCCAGGATGGTCTCGATCTCCTGACCTCGTGATCCGCCCGCCTTGGCCTCCCAAAGTGCTGGGATTACAGGCGTGAGGCACTGCGCCCAGCGTGACAGGAGTGAACTCTTAATGGAAAGGGGTTCTGGAGGGAATGTTTCAGTGCCTCTCTGCCCTAGTTGGTGAATTTAGCAGTTTAACCTAAATACCGTTGTTTCTGGATAGACTTCCTCCAAGCAGGTGCCCTAGACCATCTTTTGTCTCGCGCTTTATGTTGGACATTAGAGCTTTATCTTTGTGATGCCTTTGTAGGTTTCTCTGGATACTGACAAGAAAGTTCATTTGATCTAATGAGAAATCTCTGACTAATAAAGGCAGGAGCTGCTTTTGACACATATGCATTAACATCATCCTTCTATTCTTACCATTTTTTTCCCCTGTTTTTTGAGAAGGAGTCTCACTCTGTCACCCAGGCTGGAGTGCAGTGGTGAGATCTCGGCTCACTGCAACCTCCGCCTCCCAGGTTCAAGCAATTCTCCTGCCTCAGGCTCCCAAGTAGCTGGAACTACAGGTGCACACCACCATGCCTGGCTAATTTTTCCATTTTTAGTAGAGACGGGGTTTCACCATGTTGGCCTGGCTGGTCTCGAACTCCTGACCTAAAATGATCCACCCACCTCGGCCTCCCAAAGTGCTGGGATTACAGGTGTGTGCCACCGCGCTGACCCTATTCTTACCATTTGTTCTAAGCATATCCATTTGTAGATAATTTTAAAATTTGTGGCAGTTAACGATGTGGGTTTTTACCTTATACAGTGACCCAGACTCTTCAGTGCAGGTAACTCCACATCAAATCTCCCATCAGAGATAAGATGGCTGCCAGCCGCTGATCTCCAGGTGAGGGCAAGCCTTCTCTCTACAATGAGTCTTCTCCTTTGGGCGGGGTTGGGGTGAGCAAAGAGAGCCACCCACATTCTTGTCACACATGTGACAAGACCAATATTACCTGACTGACTTGAGCCTCGTGGCTAAACACATTTGCCAACTCCCCTTGAGATGTCCATCAAACTGTGACATCCTACTTCCTGCAACAGCTACATCAGCCCAGAGGCAAGACTCCATCCAGGTCAGCGGCCGCCTTCTCTGGCCATCAGTTGTCCCTCTAGCTGTCTAGACTTCCCTATTGTTTTGAACTGAGGCAGTTTTCCTGCCTCCAGCTGAATATGCCCTGGCAGTTCCCATTTTTGTATTTTCCACCTGGTCATCTACTTAGGAGAAACTGAGTATCTTCCAGGGCCAATGCAGCCATTTTCCTGTCTCTGGAGAATCAGGAGGGAAGGCAGGGCTGAGATGGGATGGGGCCATCCTGGCAGACAGCATTCCCCCAAGAACGTGGGTTGGCCTCCAGGGAGGGGAAGAGAGCAGGCTCTGATGGGCTTAGTCAAGTTAAATATTCTCTTGGTCAGTGGCTTAATGGATACGGTTTCCCCATTTCTCACATCTGTGCTTTCCCTTTTTTTTTTTTTTTTGTTTAGATGGAGGCTCGCTCTGTCACCAGGCTAGAGTACAGTGGTGAGATCTCGGCTCACTGCAATCTATGCCTCCCGGATTCAAGCGATTCTCGTGTCTCAGCCTCCCAAGTAGCTGGGACTACAGGCACATGCTACCACGTCTGGCTAATTTTTTTTCTTTTTTGTAATTTTAGTAGAGACGGGGTTTCACCATGTTGGCCAAGCTGGTCTTGAACTCATGACCTCAGGGGATCCACTCACCTCGGCCTCCCAAAGAGCTGGGATTACAGGCGTGAGCCACCACACTCGGCTGTGCTTTTTCTTTTTAATTTTATTTTGAGACAGGGGCTTGCTCTGTTGCCTAGGCTGGAGTGCAGTGATGTGAACATGGCTCACCGCAGCCTCAACCTCCTGGACTCAAGTGATCATCCCACCTCAGTCTCCTGAGTAGCTGGGACTATAGGCACAGGACACCATGCCTGGTTCATTTTTAAATTCTTTTGTAGAGATGGGGTCTCACCAAATTGCCCAGGCTTGTTTTGAACTCCTGTGCTCGAGCAATTCTCCCGCCTCGGCCTCCCAAAGTGTTGGGATTACAGGCATGAGTCACTGTGACCCGCTCACTTTCCTTTTTTCAAATGTGTTAGTGGTTTGGTTCACAGATATATACATATGCAAAACCAACATAGTGCAACACACTCATCACAGCCTGAACACTTAGAGTCCAGGCTTGGGGGTCTGGAGAGGTGAAGGGAGGCCATGCCTGTACCACCTTCCCCACCAGATCTGCCAACAGCATATGCACCGAGCGCATAGAGACCACACTGCTGCTCTCTGGTCGGTCCTCAAATCAGGAAGCTTTGGGATTTGGGACTTGGGATGTTAAGGTCCTATTCAGTAGCCACACCAGGTCCCAAGTGTGGGGAGTGGTGGTTCCCGAGGACTCATGCCGGAGTACCTGATTGTGGCTGCTTCCGTGAATTACAAACCAAGGGCTAGAGCTGTAATTTATAAAATATCCTTTATTTATTCTAAGGAACAGTCAAGCAGTAGCTTAAAAAAAAAAAAAAAAAGACACATTTTTTGAAAGATATTATTAGTGTTGTGACCTGGCATTGGGCCCCCAGTGAGTGGGACAGTGGCTGGGGCCACCTGCTGTGGCTTTGCGAGTTCTCTGTACTCACTGGCAGGGGTTTGGTGGGAAACTGGGAAGCTTTGGCATGGTTCTGTCCAGTTGCTTATAATCAAGAATAATGAGTTTTGAGGTTTACAAAGAGCAGAAGTAACATTTATACTGCTGGCATTTGACAAAAGATTGCTTATAATATACTCATTCCAGGAAGTGTAAAAATGCTTTAAAGGAATGATAATTTGTACTTACTGTTTATGGGGACTAGATATATTAGAATTATAGCATCATTATGGGAACATAGTATTTCTCTATAAATTCAGAAATTCTCTGGTTGATGTAAAATCATACTTCCTGGTTTTACTTAGTTAGTAAAGAAATAAATAAATTAGAGTAACATTTAGTCAGGTAGTTACTCCTTTTTCCCCTTCTTTATTAATAAATTTTATTTTTAGCACAATGATTTACCCAAAAAGAGAGTTTGAGAATGTTCGAGAATCTCTACCACTCGGTAACCATGCTGGCAGTTATATCAGAAAAATCCATAAACACACACAGCAGCGAGCTGTTTTCACAAGACTTCCTTGCTAATAAACACAACACTTTCTCCTCCACTCAGATGGGAGCCTCAGATGCCAAAACGCAGATGTGCCAACTATAGGCTCGTTGCTAAGCAAAGAAACCTATCAAGTTTGTCCAGCAAATTCGATTGTACAATGGAATGGCGTCTGCTCTGCGGCCTTGGACAGGGAGCGGCTGGTCTGTGCGGCTGTCCCCTGAGGCAAGTCGAAGCTGGTGGCCCTTAGGGGGCAGGTAAAATGGTTCTCATGGGTTAGAACATAAGGGCTTTGAGAAAAAAATGCAAAAAGTCTCATTAAAATTGGAGGCCTATGTGAATCTGTTTACATAGAGGCATACTGAGATCTCGTTCTGTGCTCAGGTGAACTGCAGGTCTCACGCTGGCAGCACGACTCGGCCCCCCCCAGCTGGCCTGAGCCACCGCCTGCCACCTCCTCATACCATTATGTGGGGGTCTAAAGAGGACATCATCCCCAACCAAGGAACAGTGAGAGAGAAAATCCCAAACATTTAAGACAGGGTTCAAAAGCACCCAGACGCCTTCTGTCTCTTTCCCAGTTCCCATCTGGCTAGGGGCTGTGAATCAGGATTCAGAATCTGTGCTGCCCTGAGGGGACAGGCACCCAAATGCAATAAATAACACCAAGCTCAAGACCCAGCGACTGACCTTCCCCCACCACCGCTGTGGGTTATTCCTCGATGTGAACTGAAGGATCCAAGGGAGGAATCCGTTCCGCCCCCAAACCTCCCTGCACAACATCGAATGTGGGAGTCCGGCTGCTGCTTCTGCACAGGACAGAGCCTCCAGTCTTTTGCTTGAGAGCATCATTTATGGCATGGACTGGGAACGCAATGTGTTCACACAAACGCACGACAATTGTACATCAGCATCTTTACAATATTAAAGGAGCCATATACAAGTCTACAGCCATTGTACACAGGATGGTGATGGCTGGGGAGCCCCGCCCACCAGTCCTCTGTGGTTTCTCCACTGGAGAACACTCCGGGAGCTGTCACAAGGCCGGGGGGGCAGTGTCCATCTTTGGGCCTGTCGTGGTGGGGGCAGCAGGTCTGCAAGGACTCCTCAGGGCCAGTCCTCACTGGAATCGGGGGTCAAGAGCGCCAGGTCTGCCTGTGTCCAGGTCTCATCGGCAGGCTAGTGTAACAAGTTTAATTAAAACTCTGTGCATACTCGCATGAGAAAACTGGAGCTGGGGATGGCTCCCTGAGCTGGGGACCTAGAAGACGCTGCTGACAGATGGGCCCCTTTGTGGTGGGGCCCATTCCTGAGGTAAGGTGCAGCCCTGAGGCTGGTCCGAACGGGAGGAGACTTCTCCAGCAGCCCAGGTGCCGATCCACACAGACAGAACCAGAAGCCCCCAGGCAGGAGGAGGTCAGGTGACCCGGGGAGTGCAGCCTGAGCCCCCGACGGCAGCAAAGGTGAAGGTCTCAGGTGGTTACAGAGTCACTCAGCCCTCAGGCCCCCACCACTCTCCTCCCAGCAGCCCTGCAGCACACATCCCTGCATCTGTCCCGAGAGCCCCAGCCCTGCAGGCATCTGGGCCTGAATGCCAGGCAGCTGGTCCACCCTGTGGCCATGCTGCGCAGCCATGCTGCACGTCCGACTGAGAACTGAGCACCAGATAAAGAAGCGTTGGTCCTTGTCAGCCTCTCTGACTTCTGCAGTTAGGGTTGCATCCATTTTAAATACTGTAGAAAAATAAGCCATCTCGGACGCTAGGAGACCCGCCAGAGTCTGCCCTGCGTGGAGAGGGATAAACAGCTCCTCTGAAGTAGCTGCAGACGACTCTTCCAAACCCACCCCAGCAGGCCCCGGGGCCTCAGAGGATGCTGCGCCAGGCTGGGAAGCTGAGGGGCTGGGAGAGCTGGCAGCCGAGTTCCCACTGCTGCATCTTTGGGTCACATCAGCAGTCCTTCTGCAGGCATGCCTCCAGCATCCTACATTCTGTTGCCATGACACCTGGGGCCCTGGTGCTTGCTGGGCCAGCTTTGGACCCTCTAGCCTCACCCTCAGTCTCATGCCCATGGCCAAGCATACACAGGCAGAACTCCCCAGCACTGTTTCCAGGTTCCTGGGGGGGCCCAGGTAGGCACTGAAGCAGGGCCTAGTCCAGGGGTTCCTGCTTGATCCGAACAGCAGTGGGGGTGGGCTGTGGCCGCCGCTCCTCCCGGCAAAGCACGTACTCACTGAACTGGGAGGAGTCCACGCCGCCCCCACAGGACGCGGCCACGCTGAAACCCCTCTGGAACAGCCGCTCCAGGACCTGCCCAGGAAGAAACAGAGGTCATCAAGGCCAAGCTGCAAGAGGACACCTGGCTTGGCCTGGCAGGCAGGTGGGTGCCTGCTGGGGCAGCCAGCCAGAGCACCTTCTCCTGTGATGGTATCAGTCTCCCTCACCAACAAAGGTCCCTACAGAACCACCTGCTGGGTTCCACCATCAGAGGGACAGAAGTTGCCAGGCCCAGTGACCCCTCAGGTTACCAAACCCAGTTGGATGACCCCACCCAGGTCACCATTCTGCTGCCCTCAGGGCCTTGATTCCAGGAGGCAAAAAGAGCCTTTGGGTCCCTTCTTTCTTCTGTAGGGTGTAACCTGTGCCCTTTCTCCAGACACATGGCCCCAAGCATCCTGCCTAACTGAGTCCTGCCCCAATAATGGAGAGTTCCCTGTCCTTCAGCCTCTAGGCATCCAGCGGCTTCCCTGAGCTGTGCATTCCAGGTGGTTTGAGGCCTGGGGGCACATCAGCTAGTGGGAGCTCTGGAGGGAGAGAAAAAGGAGAAGTCTTCTCAATATTTGAGTCTCTGCAGGCATCCACAACTATGTGGGTCTGTGTCTCTGTGAGGGTGAGGTCTGATGACTGCGTGTAACACCTGTCTCTTGCAACTAGCAAGTTCTGACCAACAGGCTGTGGAATGCATGCATGGGGGGACCTCTTCCCTGCAAAGCCCATTCTACGCTAAGCCGGAAATGTGCCAAGCTCTTGGAAAATAGGCCCTCACTCCATCTGAGTTGTCCAATTCTTGGACCCATCCAGGAAGAGCCGGTCCAGGGATTCTCTTGGCAGCTGGTGGGTGCCTGCGGCTCCCAGGTCAGCAAGGAGAGGGAAGGGGCTCCAGGCCACCTTTCCATTCAGCCTCTGTCCTGCCTCGCCTGTTGCCTGGGTTTAATTCGAATCCAGAGTCAGAATGTGGGTGTCAAATGAAGCACACTTTGTTGAAAATACTCTGGGCCATTTTTATAGAACATCCTTTTGGGAAAAAAAAAAAAAGTTCAGATCGATTTTTTTAAGTCCATCCCCCAGGCACCATCATTTAATTATGAGAGGGACATAAATTATGCATCCACACATTGTTGCCTTTTTTGTAGGATGGCACGGAGGGCTTCACCATTTCAGGGATCGCGCCTCCCTCCAGCTCACTCTGCCCCTGGTGGGCTCCGCGGACACCGAGGGTGCGGCGGGGAGGGGGCAGCGCGCAGCCCTCACCTGTACCGAGTTGAGCCGGCAGTAGCCGTTGAGCGGGAAGCGGATGACGTGCGTAGGGTCCTGGTTCCAGCCGGCGTTGACGGAGTTGCACATGACGTCTCCGGTCTCAGGGAAGACCTCCTCGATAAGGGCCTTCTCGCCGCTGAGTGCGATCCGCTCGCCCAAGTCGGGCGTGACGCGCACCACCAGGCAGTCACAGGCCCGGCTGCGGCGCCGCTGCTCCTGCTCCTGCTGCCAGCGCTCCAGCTCGCGCACCATGGGCTGGAGCTGATAGTAGCGTGCCTCCTCGTACAGCAGGCTGAAGTCCTGGGGACAGGCGCACAGGGTGTTGATGTAGGTGTCGGGGTAGGGGTGGGTGGGGGGAGCGGGGGAAGGGGGAGGTGGGAGGCGGCCTGCCGGTTCCAACCAATTCTGCAGGAACTGCGACTCCCAGGGCATCGTGTGGACTGGGCCGGTTGCACCCATTGTACAGATGGGGCAACTGAGTGTTTGCAAGTATAAGGAACCTAGCCTTGTCCCAAGGGCAGCCGCTGATGTGCACCTGTGCCAGCCCCCCTGAACTCTTCCATCTGGCCCCAGGGACTGGGCAGTGAAGCCTCCCCATGGAAAGACCGGAAGCTCCACTAAAGGAGGAGGCTGTGCCCATGCCTGGGGACCTGCTGCTGCCTTAGAATCCCACCGAGAGAAGAGATCATGCTGGGCACAAGGCAGCCGGCCTGTGCCCATCCTGGAGAAGCTCACAGCCCACCTGGAAGCAAAAACAGTTCTTCTCCAGCCAGGCCTGCCTGGGTCAGATTTTCACCTTTATCATCAACCAGCCCTGAGACCTCTAAACCTCTATACCTCACTCACTGAACGTCTCAGTTCCTTTTTTTTTTTTAAAGACGGACTCTGTCTGTCACCCAGGCTAGAGTGCAGTGGCTCGATCTTGGCTCAAAGCAAACTCCACGATTCTCATGCCTCAGCCTCCCGAGTAGCTGGGACCTACAGGCGCCTGCCACCACACCCAGCTAACTTTTATATTTAGTAGAGATGGGGTTTTTCCATGCTAGCCAGGCTGGTCTTGAACTCCTGCCCTCATGTGATCCACCCGCCTCGGCCTCCCAAAGTGCTGGGATTACAGGTGTGAGCCACTGCACCCGGCCTCAGTTCCCTTATGTATAAAATGGATATAAACAACCAGTTCAGGGAATTAAAGTGAGGATCAAAGGATGCAAGATGTGTCAAGTGCCTGGTCCAGCCCCTGCCCAAACAAGCAGAGTGTGATAGTGTCCGGTGGGGGGCGGGGGGAAACCCGCCCCCCGCCAAGCAACCCCCTTCTGGGCGGAGCAGGCTCACACAGACCGTCCCTCAGGCACTGATAGTGGCCCCATGCCCCAGGTCACATATGCACACCATACACGCTCACCCATACCCACCCCACCAGGAGTGGCCAAGGTCCCATAGGTCCCATGACTCATGCCTGAGGAAGAGGCAAGGAAGCCCAGCCCCCTGACCTACAGGCCCTAAGTCCCTTCCACCTGCTGGTCCTGGCTTTTGGAACTGCCTCCAGGGAGGCCTAGATTCTAACCCTGACCCCTGGGCCTCTCATTGGTCAGTGACCCATCCTACCTCTTCTGCCCCAGGCAAGGGTTCCTCAGGGCTCTATCCTGGGCCTCTGCTCTCTCCACTCCCACTTGCTTCTGAGATTTTTATTTTATCTTTTAAGACAGGGTCTCATTCTGTAGCCCAGACTGCAGTGCAGCGATGTGATCATAGCTCTCTGCAGCCTTGAACTTCCAGGCTCAAAGGATCCTCCTGTCTCAGCCTCCCAAGCAGCTGAGACTACAGGCATGAGCCATCATGCCAGGATAATAATAATAATAATTATTATTATTTGTAGACACAGGGTCCAGGCTGGTCTGGAATTCCTGGGATCAAATGATCCTCCTGCCTTGGCCTCCCAAAGCACTGGGATTACAGGTGTGAGCTACCTCTCCTGGCCATTCTCCTGAGATTTTAAATGATAACTGCATACCAGACAATCCCATCTTTTGTCATGGCCCAGAATTTCTCCATCTGATGCCCCACCAGCTTGCCCATGCAGGGGCAGAAACCCCACTCCCACAGCCTGGTCCACCCCGGGCCTCGACTTACCAACTCAGAATTCAAGCCACAAGCCCCGGGGCACCCGCAAGAGGCCCTTTACACTGCCACAACCACATGCTTTTGCTTGCTTGCTTACTTATTTATTTACTTACTTACGGAATTTCGGAATTTCGCTCTGTTGCCCAGGCTGGAGTGCAGTGGTGCTTACTTACTTACTTACTTACTTAATTTCGCTCTGTCGCCCAGGCTGGAGTGCAGTGGTGCGATCTTGGCTCACTGTAACCTCCGCCTCCTGGGTTCAAGCAATTCTCCTGTCTCAGTCTCCTAAGTAGCTGGGACTACAGGTGCCCACCACTATGCTCAGCTCATTTTCGTATTTTTAGTAGAGATGGGGTTTCACCATATTGGTCAGGCTGGTTTCAAACTCCTGACCTCAGGTGATCCACCTACCTCGGCCTCCCAAAGTGCTAGGATTACAGGTGTAAGCCACTGCGCCTGGCCTTTTTGAATTAAAAAAAAACTTTTGTATAGACAGGGTCTCGCTATGTTGCCCAGGCTGGTCTTGAACTCCAGGCCTCAAAGGATCCTCCCCACTCGGCCTCTCAAAGTGCTGGGATGACCGTAGTGAGCCACTGTGCCTGTGCTAAACAGAAGTCTGGTGTGCCACCTTGCGCCATCTTCTCTATCTCCATCCTGGTCCATCCAAAGCCTCCACCCAGCCTCCCTTGGCCTGGGGAAGGGGCCTCATCCATAATTGCCTCACTGCACCCACCCCCACCCCTCCCTGCCTCCTTCCCCACACAACAGTCAGAGAGATCTTCCCAATTTGCAGACCTAACTGCCCTTCCCTTGCACACACCCCTTCCACTGCATTCAGAGTTAAATGCCAGGCACTGGGCCACCCGCCAAGGTCCTGACATCAAACAGCAGCCTCTTTTCCTGCCCTTCCCCTCCCAGGCCATAAGGCTCCAGGCTTGACACCTTCTTTCCAGTTCTGGAATGCATCAAGCCATCTGCCGCCCCCATCTCCTGCACCAAGGCCGTCACACCTGTTTGGCCCCGTTCTGCCTTTACCACCCAGATGAACTTCGTGTCTTTCAAACCCACCCAGCCCAGGTCACATGGAATTCAAGTTCAGTATCTGTCTGCCTCCTAGACTGTAAGTGTTGTGGGGCAGGGCCTAATGTGTGTGTTTCACTGTTTTCAGCCTGAATTCAGTGGCTGGCACCCAGTAACTGCGTTGGATGAAAGACAAGGCCCCAGGGCTCCTGGTCCTTTGAATAGAGGAAGGAATGAAGGAAGGAAGGACAGATATTTGCTAGTATTAGTATATGCCAGTGTACCCTAGGCCTGAGTTTCCTTCCTCCCAGGGTCCCTGACACGTGGGAGGGGCTCAGCACTGAGGCAGGACCCAGGGAACCAGGTCACCTGCCGACGGGCTCACCCTGAGACCTGGAGGTTACCTTGTTTAAAGGGTATCTGTTTCGGTCATCAGGGCTTTTCTCCCTGCAAATTGCCCAACA